GGGAGGCAGAGCAGCCTGAGTCGTGTTTTCTGTTTATGTTTTGAATTGAGTGAGAAGAGCGTAATGATATGGCAAAGCAGGCTTTAGAGGCCAGCCCGTGAGGTTATATATCCTTTTGGCATTAAAGAGGGCAACCTCCGTGCGAGGTTTGCCCTCAGCTCGGCAGTGCTGGCTTGGGATGTTTCTGGAGGGAGCTGGAGGCTTCTAGCCAGGCTCGCTTTTGAGTCCGTGCCTCAGTTTGCTTCATTGCTCAGGTCTAAGTGGCTGAGGCAGAAAACTGAAGTTTAGACATTAGTATTTCACAATTAGCTATTTTCCTGTTTATTAAACTGTTGCTACAGTAGGCTAGGAGCTGTCTCACAGTCCCTTCTACTAACCTGTCACTTAACATGGCATTTTCCTGTCTCAGCAGTTATCCCAAGAAACACCCAAAAGTCCTTTTTCCAGTTTCCTAATAACCGCTTCTGAAAGTCAGCCTTATATAGACTCGCAAAGCTTTTGACTTGACTGAAGTGAGCGTAATTTTTCCTAAATAATTTGTTTATTCAAGTAGGCAGCGAACACTATAAAAATGCAGAATGAACTAATAGTTACCTCAAATGGTTTGTGATCTGTGCAATGCTACGTTATTCTGGTCTTGATTGTTAAAGGGCCAGAGCTCTGAAGCAGTGAATCATTAAGGTTTGGTATCCACATGGTTTACTATAAACAAGGCTTACGTCCCCCTCGTTAGAGACTATCTTGAGAACTAACCTCTGACTTCAGATCTAGTTTCTTCATTCAGTACTTTAAGGTTGTTACCAAACTAGTTTGTTCAAGACGCTTTGGCATATTGGGATTTTTTTGCGTTGTTCGCTTTTATAAAGCGCACCTCGCAACTTTTTTTCTGGGGGGGTCTGATGAAACATGTCTGTAATGATGCTTTGGTTTTTTTAAGTTACTTTAAATAGCCTGGTAACGAGGGATGGAGGAGTGTTTCCTCGCTGGCAGTGTAATGCTGTGCTGCTGGACATTGAGCCTCCCTCTGCTAAAGTTTAGGAATTTACGTTTAGTAGAGGTTTTGCCAGTAGTTCGAACAGGAATAGCTTTGGGCCTACTGCTGGAGAATCAATTTGAGATTTTTATTTTCCTGAAAGCTGATTTATGTGTTTTTTGAAACCAGGTTGTCTGTATTATAAATGACTGCTCAGCTTTGCTCTCCTTCTTCTGGGATCAGACCTGCCTAGCCTTCATGCTGAATTGGTGATTAATTCCCCTGTCACTGCAGAAGAAATACTATTGAGAGAAGCTGTGGAAAAAAACACTTATTACTTTGCTTAAAACTGCTTCTTGTTGTCTTGGTAACAGTAAATTTATAGGGTGACTTAAGCAGCTACTGCATGAACAGAAGATACAAACTGCTGAACAGAATTGAAAAGCATGAAATGATTGAGAACCCTCCAACAAAAAAGCGTATTTTGCTTTGGATGTTCTTAACTCATTATTATCCTTGATCCTTGAGGTGGTAAAAGAAAGGAGCTCAGATACCATGGTGGTATTCATCACCTAAAAACTAAACTGAAGTAAAAAATAGTTCTTAAGTGTGATTTTCTCCAAATGTGGAAAAAAAATCTGTATAAACCCTTTTAATCTTTGTACATTTACAATTATATTAGCCTTTTATTCAGTGGTTTGTTTCAGAAACAAACCTCTAATGTGTGTTAAATTCCTCCTAAGTTTCTATTTCAGGCTAACATCGGTGTGCGACGTTGCCTTCTGTTTAAAGGGCTTGTGCAGAAGCCCCCGGTATTGGAGCCCCTTAAGCACCCAGACACTGTGCCAGTGTATTGCGTTGCTGTTGCTCAGCTTTGAAAGCAGCAGAGTTTGAATAACTGGGGTCACAGCCTGGTTGTGTGGAATCTCCTGTCTGGGCTGTGCTGGCGGCACTAATTACAAATAATGCATTCTGTATCAGCGTTTGGAATCGGTGGAAAATAGAAAAATAGTTCTAAAATGCAAACAATTGGGTTGTGAATTAGAGCTGGCGCTTCCAGCTCTTTGTAGGATTATTTAAGTCTTCAAAATGCTTTTGCAGTTTACTCCCAAGCTTTACCTGTCTCTTTTTAGATCCAGCTTCAGCTAACCTTTCTTCTTTAACACGCCTGGTCAAAATATTTGGCCGTCTTAGCCTCTGGTCACCTCCTCTGTGATCTCCAGCGGGCGGTGCGTTTCAGGATGGGGAGAGCTGAAGGCGAGGGAGATTTAGACCCTGCGTGGGTGTTTAGGTCGTTGCATTTTTGGGGGAGCTAGGAAGATCTTTGAGCAACCTTCCAGCCACTGGGACGAGGAGCAGCACTACGTGTGTCGTCAGGGATACGGGTCAGATTCACAAGTCACTGCTTTTTGAGTATGTCGGAAAGTGGCGAGTGCTGTGAACTCCAGGGGCGCAGAGGTGCTGAGGATCGGGCTGTTGCTAGACAGAAGCAGAGAACGCTCTCCAGGCAGCCTTGCTGGATGCGTAGCCCTTCCTCAGCCAAACAGGATCACGGTTTTCCTTGGTGCTTGGCACCTCTGCTGCGTGGCGTGGGGCTGCTGCGGCAGTTGGCCACCCAGGATAGCTCCTTCTGACCGGGTTCCTCAGCTTTGTTGCTGGATGATGGGAAGATTTTTGTAGCCTGAAGTGCAGCTGCAGCACTTGGAGGACTTCATCCTGACTGTACCAGACTGCAGTTCTTCTCATTTGTGCTCGAGCGTTTGTGGTCTTCTCTTCCCCTGGAGCTGAGCAGGGATAGCTGCGTGGATTAAGGGGTTGTCTGGGGGCCAGGTTGTGGCCAATTTCTAGTGACTGACCTAATTCTAGTTGAAACGATGAAAGACTCAGGTAATTATGCTTAGTGTATAGATGCATTTTGTGGCCTTGAGCCACAATAAAAGCCTAGAGCTTTTAGTGCTGAAAGTAATTCTTAGCCTGTAGAATTGAGCTGTGTTTTTTGACCTTTCCTTAAGGGCAGCTGTATACATGCAGATTACTCTAGGTAGTACTTCATACTGTGATACAGCAACTGGTCATGGGTACCACCTCAGCTGGCTGCATTTTACCTGTGTGCTCAGCAAGCAATAAATAAGAACCAGGGTGGTGGATATTGAATTTATCAGATAGTTTTAGCTGCGTGGGTGGCTTGTACATTGAATTTCAGTGTTTGAGTTTTATTTGTCCTTCTGTTGTTTCTCCTTTCGTGAAGAAACTACTGGCCTGCCCTGCCACACGCTTGCTTCCTTGAAAATACCTATCTTAATTGTTTAAAATTTAGTATTCAGAGTACTTAAACTGAATCTGTGGCTCTCCCGGTTCCTTTAGCCCACAGTTGGGATGTGCAGCAAGACAGCTTTCTGGGTTGCTTCCAGTTTGGCTGCAGTTTTTCACAGGGCAAAGAGGTTGCTGCTAGTTGGTCATCAGATTTCCTTTCCCACTTTTAAAAAGTACATCCTTGATCTTTGAGGCACTGTGTACATTAGCTTTTTCTTCCAGAAGGCAATTTATGAAACAACTTGGATATGGTGCCAAAAATTCCCATTGGGCAATAACATTGCTTCAAATCCTACCTTAGTGTTGCCAGATTTATTTTTTTTTTTTATTGCAGTGGAGCAAATTTTTGAATAATCATTTAGATATTTGCATAGAATTTATTTTTAACCCACACAGCAGTGGTCTGTGTAAAACCATGAGGAGTCAGACAATTGTAAGTATTAAACGTCTGTCTCTGCATCAGTTTTGTGAGGCCTGATTGTTGCTGGGTGATTTCCTGAAGCTGTGATGGGGTAATGTTGTAGTTGGTGAGCTTTACATGGAGTGAGAAAAAGAGTAAAGCCCCTGTGCTTTTAATTCAGGGGAGCCTGTCTCAGCTATAGACAATAGAGAGAATCCCTAATGGGGATGCAGTCTTCAAAAAAAAAAAAAAATTAAAAAAGAATCCACCTGGACAGGACAGGGAAATGGTCCGTTTGCACCGCTGTACTGCCAAGCAGGCTTGCCTCTCCGCAGGCTTCTCCCTTGAACATTAAGGTCTGGCTGAATATTTCTGCGAGGTTTCATTTTAAAAGAATTATCACTGGGACTTTGGTTGTGCTATACAGGCGTGAGGCTCTAAATTTCCTTCTTGATTTCTTATCTGTGCTTTGAGTTAAAAAAGTATTTCCCTACTCAGACTTTTTTTGTTTCTGGCTTTTCCTGGTGTCTGGATTCAAATTATTCTGCTTACCTTCTAATTTATGTTTCATGTAATTGTTCACTTTGCTGGTTCTATGGGTTACTGGTTCTACTAAATAAACTGTCTGGACAATCAAGGCAGGGAGATTTGCAACCTTGAGAAAATAATAACAAAAAAAGCCCTAAAACCTAATCTGAGAAGAATGCTTAGGGCAAAAATTACTAGTGTAGTAAATTACTTCTGTCAGTAAAGTCTGGGCAAGAGCGTAGGCTGTGCTCTCGCCTGTGTGTATTTCCAGGTTTTCCTGCTCTCTTCTGAAGCACTACCATTTCCGAGCCATTATTCTTTTCCTATCTTCCCCTCCCTGCAACCATTCTAAATTACTTCCTCTAATCCACTGGCATTAATTGCACAATCTGAGATGAGGTAGGTGTGTCGCTGGCAACCATCTAAAGAAAACAGACTCTTGTTGCATAGACATCTCTCACTTCTGTAAACGCCAAATGACGTCCAAGGACTGGTGCTACAACTGCAGTCGTGACAGAGGTGATATCCAGAACTCAAGATGGCGGAAAAAATGATGAAATACTCTTTTCAGGCGTATTGTGTAACCATATGCCAGGGACCGTTCCCCGCAGTGTATTTCTTAACGCTTGAAGCCTGCTTTACCAAAAAGGACCTGGTCGTGAATTCTGAGCGTAGCTAGATGTTTACGGTGTGGCTGGACAAAACTGCGCCTTTAGAAAACTAAAATAATTACTTTTTCTTACATAACTAACTGACATTGTTCGTTGCCTTCCAGTTTGCAGAAGCATGGACATTCGCAACAATCTGACCCGGCTGAACATGCTGGAGAACTGCACTGTGATTGAGGGCCACTTGCAAATATTGCTGATGTTTAAAACCAAGCCTGAAGATTTCCGTGAGCTCAGCTTTCCTAAACTGACTATGATTACAGACTACTTGCTTCTTTTTCGTGTGTATGGCCTGGAGAGTTTAAAGGGACTTTTCCCCAACCTCACTGTGATTCGAGGAACTCATCTGTTTTTTAACTACGCGCTGGTCATTTTTGAGATGGTTCACCTGAAGGAGATCGGCCTCTATAACCTGATGAACATTACTCGAGGTGCTGTGCGGATTGAGAAGAACAATGAATTATGTTACTTGTCCACAATTGACTGGTCAAGGATTTTGGATTCCGTAGAAGATAATTACATCGTGGCCAACAAGGATGACAAAGAAGAGTGTGGAGATGTGTGTCCGGGAACTGTGAAAGGGAAGAGCAACTGTCCGCCTACTGTGATAAATGGCATTTTCATTGAACGCTGCTGGACACACGATCGCTGTCAGAGAGGTGAGTCTGCAGAGTGGTGTGTGTCAGCTGTGGGTTTGCTGTCAGTTTTTAACCTGGCCCATCTATTGGAAGTCTAATAGGTACCTGTTAATTGCTACCTGTAAGCAGATGTTCCTAAAAGCAAGGCTTATTGACCTCTTAGGTGAAGAGAGGACCTTTGGGATGGGGCTGTTGTAGCAGTTCTTTCACCTCTGTGAATAACGTATCCAAAACCGTTGTGTTTGGGTTCTGTGGAAAGTTAGGGACTGCCTAGAGCTCACAGTTTAACGGACTGTGAGTGTAACTGGTGTCTTGTATAATATTTAAAGTGATATTAGTGTCTCTTGTGGGGCTTGGGTAGGGGAATTAAAGTCCAGATTGACTGAACGGCCGCAGCAAGCGGAATCAGAGCGGTGGGGAAAAGTCTTTATGGAATAAGCCCAACTCTAGAAAGGTGCAATTACTTTTTTACTGAAGCCTCCTGCCATAAAAAGGTGTAAGAGACGTGGATGAGCGAGCAACATTTGCACAGAGTGAGAAGCTGGAAGCCAAGTCAGACCTGAAGGGAAACGGAGAAGGAGGAGAGAGGATCTGGATGGGGTTGCCTGTAGGAGGAGTCCTGGGAAGGGTGAAGTAGCTGGGCTTTGAGCCCGGGGCTTTGGTTCAGGGGAGAAGGTGTATTCAGAAAGTTAACTGCTGTTGGAACGCCTGAACTCCAATTCTTAAACTGCATTAGGATCGCTTTTAACTTCATACAGATTTGTGTTTTCCAAACTTGGAACTGAGCTTAAGTTTAGCTTTAATTATATATTTACTTTGATTTATGTTAAATCCAACTGACGGGGAGCAAAGTGAATTGAGGTAAAACTGAACATTAGAAGTTGTCTGTCTTTCTGGAGGTAGTGCATCCAAATGAAGCAGTGTGTCCTAAGACGAAATTAGGAGACTTGCGGGCTGGAGAGAATTTCTTGCCAAGCTTTAAAGGGCAATTCTGAGTGCTAAGTGCCAAATTTGAGAAGGAATTCCTACCAGTATGCATAAACTAATGAAATTAATGTGGTTTCCCCTCTGCTACTCCTCAGCCCAGAATCATCTAGCTTCCTTTTAAAGAAAGTGGTTATTTTTTGTTGCCAGAATAACAGGGTATGAGCAAGAAGATGCAAACACGTACGTGTGTTCTTTTTTTAAAATGAAAAATAAGGTTATAAAGCGTTCTCATTTGTAAACTCTTTTGGTGTATGGTGATCTGGTTATCAGCAGCACTTAAACCTGGTTTCTTATGCATTTGTGTTTTATGTGTTCTGCTATTAAAGATCTAACTGAAACTTTTTCTGTGGCTAGACCGCTCGCAATGTCCCCCGTTCCTGTGAATTTTCCGGGGCTGTGCTATAGCAGGCTGGAATGTATGGGTTCTCTCCTTCATGTGACTGCCTAGTTCCATGAAACCTGTAGGAATGTAATATTTTACCATTGGGGCAGAAATCTCCGCTCCTGAGCCTCTCGTACAAATTCAGCTCGGCTTAGTGGAGGATGCCCGTGCAGTGTCACACGCTAGCTCAGCTTCGCTACCTGAGGAAGCCGAGCTAGTAAGGCCACTTGACTTGAATCTGAAATTGAAATTTGAATTTGAAAATGGTTTCAAAAGTAATTATACGCAGATGCTCCCATCTGGTTTTCTGTGTTCCTTGTAGAAGATTTAGAGAAGCGATGCCTCTACATATTTTGGCTGTAATTGCTGTGCATTTTCAAAACCACTTAACAAGCCACGCTTATCTTTGTTTTGAATGCTAAGATTTGTACTTTTCTTTATTGGTAGCTGGTGTTCTCAACAAGCTGGCATGTGTATTATATTGTGCCTTGTGACACCTGCCTGTATGCCTCTTGAGTTATTGTAGCAGCTTGAGTAGTCTTTTAGACTTCTTTGAGCAGCCTTTAGACTTCCAGCACACACAGTAACTATGGTAGAGATTCAGTGACATTTCTTTAGTGAACCCGTTGGTGGAATCGCAGTGTTCTCTGTTCTCGTGCCAGCCATAACGTATCCTCAGCGTGTGTAATGGTTTTGTCAAGATTATTAAGAGCTTGTGTGAATTGTACTTTGGCTTTCCTTAGCCTGAAGAGCCTCGTAGCAGCTCCCAGGACTGAGGGTATTAATGGCACGAAATCTTTCCCTCTGCATTTTTGCTGCTTACCGAGGAATCTTCAGCAGCTAATGCTGTGCTGAAGTCTCCTGTCTCTCTGGTGTTAAGAGTATTCCTCTCTTTTACTTTTGCTCTTTGTCTTTTAACTAATGTGAGAGTGAAATGTAGCAATTTCAGTATGACTTCCTTGGGGGAAGTTTGTGTTTGTGTGGTGTTTGTTTTAATGCAGGTTATCTGTGTTTGTTTTATAAAACTTGGTGTAGAATCTCCTGTTTGCTGTTTTTTGTTTTGCATCTCTGGATGGGAAGTGGTTGCTATCTAAACCGACAGCGCTGCTGGATCGTGCTACTGCCCTGGGACTGCAGGCCAGGATATTTTGTTTGCTGTTTTGTCTACCGGAAGAAATCCATGAAGAAAATGTAAATATTGATTGTTTTGATGTTACAGAGTGTGTGTCAATTGACAGAGACAAGTCCCAAGCTGACAAGTTTTTTCCAGCCTGCAGAGCTTTGAGTCTTGCTGGAGAAAATAAGGAGATGGGCAAGAAGGTTGAGAGAGGACATGTGGGAAGGCTGAAAGATGTTGCAGAAAGGGAGATGGCAATGGCTGGGGTTGAAGTGGGGTCCCTGGGTGAACCCCATCTCTTCCACCCCAGTCCCTGACCTTCCCCTGCCTCCTCTCTGTGGTAGCTTCCTTCACGTGATCCCTGCCACACCTCATATTGATCATGGGATATCTTTATTTTAATCATCACAGATATCCCAGTTAACTCCAAAACTAACTTCAGTTATAGCATGTAATTATCTGAGGCACACATCCAAGTCTCTGACTCATCCTTGCAGCTATAACTCAAGCCCAGAAATTTTTTCAGTTGGTGATAACATGTTCAAGACAACAAAGTAAAGGATCTTCTTACAGACGTTAGAGCTAAGGTTGTGGATGAAACCAGCTGGGAGGAACTGAAATGATTTGTGGGCAGCTGCACACGTTGAAAAAACCAGTTGCGATATTGAGGAATCTGTGTCTGAGTGCAAAGATGTGTAGATGGATATACCATAGACTGAGGTTGGTCGGGATGCGTGTCCTGGAAGTTTTCTTTTCTTTTTTCTGGATCCCTTGTGTGGTGTGAAAAGCGAGTCGGTTCAATTAAGGCCAACTCATGTTATATTTTGGGTAGGAAGGGAGGGAAATATGTAGTCTGTTTGGAATTTGGGTCTAGCCTTATGCTGTTTATGGCAGCCAAGCGCTGTTCCTGTTCTGGAGGTTTTGTAACTCTTCAGCCCACATTTTTCTAAGGGTTTTTTTCTTTACATACGTATTTTTATTGCCGTAACAACGTAGTTCTTGGTTTGGTGCAGCATGTTCACGCAGATTGCGACTTTGCTGAAGAATGCAGACAACAAAAATGCTGGAAATGCTACGTCCTAGACCTCAGTCTGGATCTGCCAAACATGGTTTTCATATTTTGCATTTTTTTCCACATTTTTTTTTTCTGTAATAAAAATGCTATATGTCTGTCACTCCGCTTGCGGAAGGAACAATTCCCTCTGAAACGGGATTTCCTGCCAATTCTCTTCGCAGTCTGTCCATACATAATTTGAAGCAGTCTGATGGCTTTGACAGTCTAATTATAAAGGCGAGTTCAGCCATTTACTTGCATATCGGGTCATCTGGAGGTGGGGTAAGGTAATAGGAAGGAAAAGTGTGATGGCCAAGTAAAAGTGACCAGGAAAATGATCTGCAATATCAGACACTGAATATTGAAGGGCAGCATTCCTGGAATATAAGGATGAATTTCTGAAATATAGGCTTCGTTCCTTAGAGGATACGATGAAATTCAAGTTGGCCTAATCATCCTGAATGAGACCTTTGCAGGAGTCTGTTGTCTGCTTGATCTTGGGACTTCACGCTGCCAGGGAATTTGAGTTACTCAGAGTGCAGGCCATTTCAGGTTTGTTGATAGACTCGTTCTTCGATCTGTTATCTTGCTTTATGCGATAAACCCAAAAGTTGTGTCTCTCAATTAGGGCAATCTAGAATTTGTTGCAAAATATTAACCTCACAAAAGGAAAGTGGAAAGTGTATGAAACCATCTGGACCAAGTGAAGAGGACAGTAGAACAGCTGACAGAAGGGTTGAGAGTCTGGAGTAATTGACGTGCAGAGGAGCTGCTCCAGAAAGGTACTGTATGAAAAGAATAATGTTTGTCTGGATTTTTTTATGATGTTGGGGAAGCAGATCTGGAGACTATGGATACAGCAGAATCTCACTTTAATTTTCCTGTGATTTATCCAGGGAAAATTCTGGGACAGGTAAGGAACTGAAGAGTAGCTTCAGTAGCTTGCCTTGTTTCCTAGTACAAGCAACACAACAAAGCACGCGGAAAAACATTGCTCAGCCCAAAATGTCTTTCAACTGCTATGAAACAGCACCGAGTGTTTTTAAAGAGACTGGTGCCAGAAGAAATTCTGCAACTATGAACATCTTCAAGGCAGGTTTGAATAACAAAGTACAGAGGTGTGTGTGGGAAACGTTTTGTGATGTTTACTTAGGTAGAAATATTACTTAGCAACAGCTTCCTGTAATTTTTATGTGCTGGGAATTTCTGTAACCATAGGCTTAGTTTTATTACCTCTGTATGGGAAAAGGGGTCTCGAAGCACTGAACAGACTGAGCCGACCTCAAGGGCGAGATATTTTTAAAGCTTTAAACAAAAGAAACTTTTCCAGTTGCTACCACATGAAGTGGAAGTGCTTCTTTTATTTGGAGATCTGATAAGAAGTGCCTTTTTTTTTTTTCCCCAGCTCTGACAAATGCCAGATGGAAGTTGACACCCGATAATCTCACTGGGGTGTCTGTTCTGAACCTTGCCAAGCGACA